CTATAGACATCCGCCAAAATTGAAAATTCTGATTTTTATTTTTATTATTTTTCTCTATCCTAACCCGTAAGCAGCTCGACGATCATTTTTCTCTATCCTAACCCGTAAGCCAAAATTGCTTGGGGCCGGTCAGCTCGACGATATATTTTTTTTTTTTTTTTTTTTTTTTTTTTTTTTTTTTATTTTTTTTTTTTTTTTTTTTTTTAACAATATAGCCGAGGCCGGGGACCTCACAATTCAACCCGGGGTTATCCCGGCAGCATCAGCCGGTTTAGCTCAAACTGTTCAAACAGACCTTCCTCACATTCCAATCACCGAATTCACCCCAACCACTAACATCCACTCTATGCTCAACACACATCAAAACACACCAATGTTCGGGACTGCATAACCTAGATCTATTCTAACCTCCCTCACCTACTACCCTATCCCACCTACAGCTACACTGGCCTAGCATGGGCCAGACCCGGCCTATACTCGACCKGGAGGAACACTTGTTCCTTATAGTACCTTGGCACTCTCCCACCCTCCAACCCACTGCAGTCTACTGTGACTGCCCACAGAAACCGAGTGCCCTGGTTCAGAARAAATCTCCACAAGGCTTCAACACCACACAAACCAAAATCTCTATCCATGAGCCTAAATCCTACTAACCCCCTACTACTACTACAAGTTAGCCTCCCTCGTCAGCCAATCTGCCAACTGAAGCTTRCCTGTTGATGAGATCCTAGCAAAATGACTCGAATGAGCCCAAGTACTCCGAAACCACCTCAGTCCACCTACATTCCTGCCACATCCTGTTTTCCGCCTCCAGTCTGTTCTAATCTCATTCCTGAGTAGAGCCTTGAAGASTCTTGCCGCTTGGGTGTCAGACATAGTCTTACCTTGGAACCGCTGATCATTCCTGTCRGAMCAGATTACCCACATCATCACTGCCCGGGTGACTTGGGCGATATAGCCCCATCCTTTGTCACCTGGTGTGTTGTCCGGGAGTAAACCCAGCAGCACCCATCTTTCCCCTGTCAGATCCGGTCTATCCACAATCTCGGCCCACTTCTGAAACCACCACTCCCACCATCTGGCTGATTTGGGGCATGCCCACCAAAGATGATGCAGGGTCTCAAAAATCCAGTTACATCTCTCACACTCTTCCTTCACTGACATCCCTCTCTTTCGCAACCATCGCGCTACTGGAACTGCTTGATGTGACTGTAGCCATAGAAGAGACGCCAGCTTTTGGGAGGGGATCTGAGGCAGTTGAGACCARAACTTCTCAAACTCTTTCTCTGTGGGAGGTGCGATATGAGGTAACGCTTCCTCCCATCGGGTACACACCTCCTCAGTCACTTTCTTGCTCTTCTTGTCTTTCTTCTTCCTTACAGCTTTCTGAAGATTCGCCAGGTCCCATGTTACCCCTTGGTCATGTTTCCACCCCCAGCCTGTTTGGTCAAGCCTGAGAACATCCGTGCTCGTGCCTCCTGCGATCAGATCGAATTGAACCAGATCCGGAAATTTTGTACTTCTCTGGCTGGTTACTTTGCATTCCTTCAGCCCTGAGACTCCAAGTCTAGCTGAAAGTTCCCCCTGGACCAAGGTCGAAAGACTTTTATATTTCCTCGTGAATCTGCGGAGATTGCATTTGCCTGGCGTATCCTCGTTCCACCCTTCCAGTCTGAAAAAACCGTCTTCATCTTCTGGGTCCTGAAACCACGTTCCGACTTTGGGGATAACTTCGGAGGTTAGAAGCGCCTTCCAATRTGTTGKGATGGCYTCTATCAACTGGTCCATCCATTCCTCTTGCCGCTGCAGTTTGCCCAGTTTTTCCTTCAGCTTTGCCCGCGTAACCCATTGCCCTTGTGAGTCCTCCCAAAGATCCCCCACCTTGGACACCCCTTTTCTGATCCACTTCATCCCGTAGGATTCTGGCTTAGTGTTAGCAGAAAACATCTCCCTTTCTCGGTTTCTGATCCTTGGGTTTTCGAACAGGTGCTGACGTAGGACTTCTGCTTTAGATTGCGGCTCAGCATGCATGTCCGGTTTACATTGCTTCCAGCCCATCAGAATGTCCTTCCAAAACTGCGACTTCTGGCGTTTGTTCAGGAATGACTGTATCATTATCGCAACCTAGACATCTGAGGGGCGGCTTAGGCCCCACTGTTCACATAGAATCTCTTCCGCCAGAAACAGCCAATCAGATTCTTGGTCGGAGGTGGCTACCTTTACTAGCCATTTGGCCAGCAACAACAGGTTTTGTGATTCTGGATCTACAAGAGCCAGACCTCCCTCCTTGGGTTTTCACAGAGTCCCCCACGCCACCTTGCTGATAAAGCCTTTGTTCGTCTGTGAGCCTGGTTTCCAGATGAACCTCCGGGCTTCCGCCTTAACAATTTGTAGCAGACCTTTCTCCAGCTTTCTCAGCCTCGCCACATACCATAAGATCGAGAAGGCAGAAACAGTCACTGCTAGGACCCTGCCTACTAGAGACAGATGTTTTGCCTTCCCCCACTTCCTAATCCTTTCGGTCACTTTCTCCTGCAGTATCCCACTCTGAGACGCAGAACAGTTCCCCAGTGCCAATTGTACTCCCAGATAACGCTCTGCTTCTTCAGCAGGGATCCTCCTCATTCCGTATTCCACCTTCAGTGTATATGAACTGGATAGGAAGAATATGGACTTGTTCCAATTTACAGCTGCTTCCGACAATTCCGCATACCTGGCCAGACATTTCTTCAGAGCTTCCAGGGAGATCTTGTTGTTGACTGAGAAGGCCAGTAGGTCATCCGCCAGAGTTTTGACTCTGCACTCTTTTCCAGACCGTAGTCTCAGTCCTTTCAGCAGGGGATGCCTTCTGATGTCGCTGAGGAGCATTTCCATTTGCAGAACGAATAACAGAGGTGCCAACGGACAACCTTGCCTGAGAGACCTCGTAAGAGTCATTTCTTCTAAGTGGTGCCCGTTTACCTGGACTACCGCAGTTGCACCGAAGTACAGAGCTTTGACCATACTGCAGAATCTATCTCCGAAGTGCATTGCTCTCAGCGTCGTCAGTACTAACGACCAATTAACCCTGTCGTACGCCTTTTCGAGGTCCAGCATTAGCATTACTACATCTAGATTCTGCTCCTCTATCACTTTCATGGCTTCGATTGCTGTAGCTAGCTTCTCAAAGATGGATCGCCCTCTGACAAAAGCCCCCTGATCTAACCCCACCAGCGCAGGTAGATAAGGTGTCAAACGATTGGCGAGAGATTTAGCCAACAGTTTGTATGAGAAATTCAACAGGGAGATAGGCCTCCAGTTGCGCATCTCATCCCTATCCCCTTTCTTATAAAGTAGGTTGATCACTCCTCTTGTCATTGAGTTTCCCAATTTCTCTCCTTCCGCGACTGAGTTAAACACCCCCACTAGATCGTGTACCAGCAGATCCCAACAGGCTTCAAAGAACTCCCTTGGCAATCCATCATCACCCGGTGCTTTCCCCTTGGCTGTAGACTTGAGCGTCTTGGTTAATTCCTCCCTGTGCTGCTACGCTTGGTTCCTGCCTCATTCTTGCCGAATAATGGTCCGATGATGGTGCTCTTCGTCCTTGCTCGTCTTCCTGCTGTGTAAGCTTCGGGCAGCCGTCTGTCGCCGTATGAAACCACCAGCGGCAACGATCACACCATGCCGTATGTTTACAGACAAAGTCTATATTGATCGTTTCACCGTCTTCCAGGCGTAGAGGTAAGAGCGAGACAAAAGCACTTTCTGCCTCCGAAACCAGTTCGAATTTTAAATTTATCAGTTTCGGTCTGGTTGCATCCGGTTGTGGGGGAATCACGTTCATGATTCTACCCATGGCCTGTTGCACCATATCCGTTACTGATAACATAGCACGCAGAGGGACACGTAAAGCCATCACCCAGAATTTGGAAGCATCTTCCATTCTTCTTCTTTCTTCCAGTTCTCGGCGCGTCAACCATGGTTTAAATAGCATTTTGTATTCAATTCCTCTAATAATAACTTTGTCTTCCGCCTTCCGAATCATCCAATCTGCCACCTCCTGCTGCATGGCGACATATGACATAACGTTAGGACCCTCCGAGTGCACTCTCCCTCGTTTGACTTGCCTTGAGAATGTCCTCGATCTCGTCCATCCGTTTTCGTAGGCTCGAACGAGATCCTCCCTTATCTTGGCTGGTAGAGAGCGAGCCTCACCGTGGAAGATTATCCTTACAGTGCGCTCCTTGAGCCACTTTGTAGTTAGCTCACCAATTCGGTCATCCACCAYGAATATGCGCTCTCCRTTCTCCGTAATGAATYTGCCTTGTCYCAGTTCCGTCRGGAAGATGCCGTCCTCRTAGCACTTYGCAATGAGCTGCTTCATCCTTTGGTCTTCAGACTCTGGCACTTCCGACCCTGTTGGTGGTGACCTGTCAATTCTCCGTCCACTTGAACCAGCAATTGCCCCTGACGTAGCCATCCTTYGCCTCCTCGATGCAATTAAGGCTAAGCTTCTACTCCGTTCTACTTACGCCCTCTGCTCCTTCACGTAACTACTTACATATGATGCATATGACACTTCTGAGAGGCGGTCGCCTACTGGCGAGTGCCCAACACCACGGACATCCCGCACACAACAGTAAAGTGAATCACTCGGGCCGACCTAGATTGACAGTCTCCCTCTCCTGCGGGGAGGTTTGCTCGGAAATTACCGAGCGAGACGACACTCTCCACACGTGGTTCTCATCATGGCGGTGAAGACCCATGAGGCCGGTTCGGCCAGTCCGGCCGAAGGCGCAAACTTAGAGCGCTAAAACTGCGCCAACCGACGCGCCCCCGCTCGACGATAATATCTCAAGGTCGTCGCCCTTTTTTTTTTATTTAAAAAAAAAAAAGGTCTATATGGTAGTTGCACCACTGCTCGACTCGCCACCGTCACAATTCCTTTTTTTTTTCCAGAGGAAAAATGCATTATAAAAGTCAGCCGTCACAATTCGTGGCGGATGGGTGGAGAGTGAAAAAATGAGAATCGTGTCAAAATGGAGGCCTTGGTTGCACTTACTCGCCACTATATATTTCTTCAATATAAAAGTTGGAAAAAAAAATTGTCTGCCTGATGTAGACTCGTGAAGCCGTGCACTCTCTAGAAAGTTGTGTTGTGGAGAGGTCCGAGGACCACCACCCTCCACAAACTGCGCTGTACAGGCGGGTGCAGCTCCCGCATGTTCCCTCGTTGGAGGCTTGAGTATTGATGTGGCTGCTACCGGGTTCCCCGTAATACTATAATGACAATAAAAAAAGGCCTGAAAGGCCGTCCTGTCCAGACTTGACAGGTAATTGAATTGGTTGGAATTAGCCCCTTGGCCTGTTCTCACAGGCCTGTGTTGTATTCGGGGCAGTCCAGTCCAGTCCCATCAGTCCGCTGGGGTATACCCCAGCTGTTGTCTGTTTTCCGGGTCATTCTGCATTCGCACACTTTGGATTACGTGCGTTGGAGTCTAGCGTGGGAGCTGCGCTGTGCCATCTCGCTGCCCCTTTTTCCTCCATCTCCATCTCTATACCCGGCGGAGCACCACACCTGGTGGGTCCGCCACAGCCTTTCTATTTAATAGAATAAAATATACAAAAAAAGAAAACACTTGCCACAGCTTGTGCCGAAGGTGTGGCGAGCAGTCTGACACATTTTTCATTCGCCAAGTTTGGCGAGTAAGTGCAACCAGGCCCTGAGCGCCGGATTCGGTTCGAAGTTTTGGTGAGGGCCCGCGGATGAAGGAGCGGGGTACCGAAATGTTCACAGAGTGCCATTAAGGTCCTTGCCACACCACTGTAGAAACGAAAAAAGAGAGAACGCATAATCCTTCAGAGAAGGGCAGGATAGATAGGTGGCTATAAATAGCAACGGATGCATCTTACCACTTTTTGCAGAAAGATGCATTCGTTCTCTCCTCGTTTGGTTTTGACAGTGAGGCCCTAAGGGCCTAGTTGCATGACTCGCCATGGCAGATGTGTGGAGAGAACAAAAAACTTGAATAGTGTCGAACTGGAGGCCTGGATGCACTTAGGGCCTTGCTCCACTACTGTGCAGTGTACGAAAATGGACAGTGGGACGTCTCTCCACTTAGGGGCTTGCCACACAGCCTTTCGAATGAAGGCATTTTCCGAAAGGTGTCAGACTCATTTTGAAAGGCTGCTCGTCGAAAGGAACCCCCCCCCTCGCCACACAGACTTCCGATACACCGAGGCCTTTCTATATATCCACATTAGGGTCTGTCTCCACTGCTCTGGACGCATGTAAAACGAGAGTGCGAATCTTTGGCTAGAACATGGAATGATACACCACCATAATTTTTGTCTTTTGTGCATGTAGAGAGTAGTGGAGCCAGGCCCTAGTAATTGCCCCTTTTTCTTTTTATTCTTTTTTTTTACAATCGACCGTTTCGAGTGGGCCTTTTCACAAGACCACTCGAGGTCTTTCGAGGAAACGCTCATGATAGGCGGAAGGATCTCATCTCTTCAAAATGACTTTCGACGCCGACCAATCTTACACCTTTCAAAACTTTTTCGAAAGGACTTGTTTCAAAAGGCTGTGTGGTGAAGACACGACGTTGATTTTGCTCGTTTCGAAAGCCTGTGTGGCGAGCCCCTTACTGTCCATTATCGGCCTGCAAAATGGCTTGGACACTTCTCAGAAATACCGTGGAAAATTGACTGTCCATTTTTGTATTTCTCCCAGCCTGCACAAGTACTTGCGTGGACGGTCCTCGTAGGAACCCACGGACCCTCCGCCTTTTTGGACAGCGAGTTTGGAGTCTGGGCGTACAAAATGCTATCGAGGTTGTGTCTAGGAGTGTTGTGTCTGTGTCTCGTAGGGAACTCACAAATTCGGGTGTTGTACAGTGTACAACACATGGAGAGGAGTTATGCGCCCATGTCTCGTAGAGAACTCACAAATTCGGGTGTTGTATAGTGTACAACAAGTGGAGCGATGCCGAGTTTCCACGATTTTTGTACACTCCCATAGTTGTCCACGAACTCTCCACAATTTTGTACAGTGGACAGTAGTGGAGCGAGACCCTTACTCGTCACTATATTTCTTCTACAGAAAAGTTAAATAATTTTGTTTGCCTGATCTCCACTCGTGAAGTACTGCACTCGCCAAGAACTTGTTTTCCACAAAGGTCCCGAAAATGAGAGCACTCTCCACTCCGACAGGTAAGTGGGCATGGATTAAATTCTTATCAGTCGGGGAGGAATGAGCGGTTGTCACAATTTATGCACCTGCAGAGAGATCGAAGAGGGTGGAATTTCTGAAGTGGACGTCCTACCAGACTTAAAGAATGTAATTATTACTGGGGATTGGAACGTGGCGTTGGATGATGCTAATCCGTTGTTCAGCTCAGGTAGCATAGGGAAGGATTTAGATGCAATTTTGGAGATCATCACAGAAATGGAACTCTCTAACCCATACAGATTAACCAACCCTACTAATCATGGGTATACCTGGTTGTCATCTCAACTGCGGTCTGGTCGACGTGTTTTTGCTCGGCGACTGGACTATTTCTTAATTAGTCAGACAACCTGAATTAATACCTTGGACGCGTCTATATACCCAGACCCCTCTCCGACCACAACCCTATTATTTTGAAATTCTTGTGGGGCGAAGGCCTAAAGAGAGGGAAAGGATTTTTCAGATTGAATGACGCCACGATTGATGGTCCGGGAAGAGGCATTTATTCCCCTCTACTATGGAGTGGTGGGACGCGTGTATTTATTTTATTTCAAATATGCTTAACATATTATCACAGATCTTGGCACTACATGATAACAAGGAAGAGGCAGCAGTAAGCAAAGCAGTGACAAACGCAGAAAACGTGCTAGCTGCTCTTCCCCCGAGATCAGTAGAAGCACAATGGTGGAGCGAAGAGAGTGTCTAACGTATGCAGAGGTGGGACGACCTTCAGCAGGCCAAGTCAGAAAGGTGGAAGGAAATTATTGTTGTAAAGGGCATACAAACGGGTGGTCGTATGACGAAGAACACGTTACAGCGACTACTACCCAGGTTTTACCATAAAGAGATGAAAACGATACAGCACCCATTCGACCAGCAAGCTCTAGTGGCTAAGACCTTAAGGGAGATGTGCATCTATGTTGAACACTACTTCTGCGACATACTCACTACAAGACGAAGTGCCATGGAAATTTACTCAGGACAGACCCAACTGATGGACCTTTGAGAGATGGTAAAAGTGCGGCTGCCTTACTCAGCGGAGGTCGGCTGGACTTAGACCGCCTCATTTCAGATGTGGAACTTAGACAGACACTCAAAGCGATGGCCAAAGAGAGAACACCTAAATTCGATGGTATGTCTGTGAAATTCTATAAATCTGTGTGGACCGACGTGAGAGATGTTTTGTTGG